CGTTGCTATACTATCGACGAGGGTATGTGAGCACATATCCAATTGACGCGGGCTCGAGCCGGAAGCCATCAAGTTGAGCAATTGAGGGGTTTGAACTTTGAACCTTGCCATTTCCTCCCATCCTTGTTCTGCACCTCTGGTCATCATTCGCGAGCCGCGATGCGCTTCGGGGTTTGGAGCTCAAATTTCCCCGCGGTGATCCCTGAACAAATCCGGAGCTGATTCTGTGGACGACCCATCTCCAGAGATCGAGTTCAATTCGTCGCAAACCCTCCACTCGAGCAATCCCACTAAACAAGGTCGAGTGTGGGCCTGGAACTTCGGTGTCGGAGCACGCGCGACGCGCATCGCCTGTTTAAGTATGGGTCTCAAGATCTATGACAGACCTGGCTCTCATATATATCCTGAGCACACGATGCACGCGTCCTGCTGGCCTCCCAAGACATACATGTCTGCGTACATGCAGCTGCATTCAGGACGTGAGTCTACCGCTTACTATGAAACACACTCCAGCTCATTGCGCCGGATAGAAAGCGGGATTCAAAAATGTCTGAGGTTATCCCGAGGCTTGTTATCCCGAGGCTTGTATAGGCTCCTGTATCGGGTCTTGCTCTCGATGCGACGTTCGGTCTACCGTTTACAAGTACTGTGTGCTGATGTTATTACCTGATTAGGGTCATAGTGCATCACCAGTGAGTACTGAGTGTAGTCAGCATCTCGTCGATCAACGTTTAGGAGGTAGCCGACCGTGCCGGTCGTTTCGTCCGTTGCTTGCTTCCCTCAAGCCCCAATCAGCCTGCTGCCTCATGCCCACCTTGGACGACTACATAACTGGTGTTGTTCCCTGAAGCGCGATTCCCTTCCTCCGCGCGCCCGCCTTGGGCCATCAGGACTCGTACTCGTTCGCCTCCAGCCTTAGCAGGGCCCATCATGCAGACTGTCGACTCGAGTCATCAGCTCGTGAGACGGTCTCTTGGAGACGTGCATGAGCCCATAGATGCGCGTATCAGCCCGTCCGACAGGGCTCCAGACGCTTCTCTCGAAGAATCATACATTCGTCAACTGCGCGCACACCCTACGGATAACGGTCAAGAAAAGTACGCGGCCGCGAAGCTCGAAGTACAAACCGAAGTCTCCGGCGAAGAATCCTCGGACGAAACCATCTACGTACGTCTTCTCTTCTGCGAAATAGACTACTGGCGGACAACGTAAACTTACCGCTCCGCGCGCCAGGTGGAGTTCGAGGACGGCGATCCACGGAACCCCGCCAACTTCTCCTACGTCCGAAGATGGGTCATCACCCTGACCGCTTCCTTCTTCTCCATCATCGCAGGTACGAGCTTCACACAGGTCCCAGTCGGAGTAGCCTAACCTCGCTTCTCCGGTAGCTTCGACCTCTGGCGCATTCGCGCTTGGCTTCCCTTCGATGACGCGCGACCTGCACGCGACGCAGATCGAGGCGACGCTCGGCCTGTCAATGTTCACGATCGGCTTCGGGCTCGTCCCGCTCATCTCGACGTCGTTCAGCGAAGAGTTTGGCAGGCAGCCGCTGTACTTCTTCAGCGGCATCGGCTGCCTCCTCATGCACATGATGACCGCGTTGTGCGTGACCCTCTCTACTTATAGCCCTCCTGCCCTGTAGACTCACGGGGCGCATCGCGCAACGCACAGGGCGCCGAACACGCAGACGGTGCTGGCAGCCCGGTTCTTTGCAGGCGCATTTGGCTCGACCTCGTCCGCTATGGTCGGCGGGACGATTGCAGACATTTGGGCCCCGCACGAGTGAGTCGGCCCCTTCCTTCTCGCCGAGGACTCGCCCACTAAGAAGGGAACGCTGCCGCAGACGAGGCGTGCCCATGTCTGCGTTCGCAGTCATGGTCTTCTCAGGGCCCGGCATCGGATGCATGGCTGCCGGCTGGATCGAGCAGAACGCGAAGCTCGAATGGCGGTGGATACAGTGGATCCATGTCATGTGCGTTTTCTCGCATGCGTCTCTCTCCGGTAGCTTACAATACCATCGCTAGCTGGCTCGGCATATTCGTAATTGCCGTGCCGATATGCATGAAGGAGACGCGCTCAGGCGTGCTCCTGACGAGGCTCGCAAGGCGGCTGCGCAAGCAGACGGGGAACCCGCACTACCGCGCCCGTGTGGAGGACGAGCGCGCGAGCTTGCGCACGCTCATCTACATCTCGTGCACGCGGCCCATATGTGAGTCCTTCCAGGGGTCAGGCTCTGCCCCGGATGTCTCGACAGTCGAGTCTGACCAGTTCCGTCAGATCTGTTGTTTACCGAGCCGCTCGTGGCTTCGTTCAGTGTGCGTGTCTATAACAAGGCACTTGGGAGCTGTGAGTTGCGAAATTGCTGATGCAGGGGGTTTAGCTCTGGGCAGGCTTCGCTTGGGGCATTCTCTATGTCCTCATCGAGTAGGTCTTCCACGCTGTGCTCTAGAGAACCGTGCGCTGATACTCGCTCGCAGGTCGATCGGGCCAGCGTTCCGAACCGTGCACAACTTCTCCACTGGTGAAGTAGGCTCAGTCTTCGCCGCGATGATGTACGTCACCGCTCACGATGGCATCCGCCTCACTCTTGCTCAGAATTTGTCAACAGCGTCGGCTGTATCTTCGGAGAAGCCATCCAAATCTACCAAGAGAGGCTCTACACGTATGTCCCTCCAGCGCATATAACCCCTTCTTGTCTCCAATTCACCAACACGGCGTTACTGTAGCAAATATCACCCGACGAAGGGCCCCGAGGCCCGGCTGTACAGCGCGTGTCTCGCAGCGGTGCTCTTCCCCGCTGGCATGTTCATATATGGCTGGTGCACATTCTCCTTCGTTCCTTGGATCGGCATGGTCATCGGCATCTTCGTAAGTTCGTCCTGTCCAGCTACTTTCGTTCAGTACTCATCACGGCCCGCCTGCTACTGCACAGGTGATCATGACCGCGCTCTTCGTCATCTACGTCGCCGTTTTCACGTACCTCGCGGACTGGTACGTGCCCGCTATGCAGACCATCCCAGACGGCGCTGACTATCGTGAGCAGCTATGGCATCTTCGCGTCGTCCGCTCTCGCAGGACAAAGTCTTTCGCGTGAGTGACCCGGTCCTTTCTGACGGACACTCATTGATGTCTCGACTTCGGGTTTGCCTTCGGCTTCCAGGAAACATAATGGGAACGATCTTCCCGCTATTTACCGAGCAGCTGTACGCGCGGCTGACATACCACTGGGGCACAACCATCTTCGCGTTCATTGCGATAGCCATGATCCCCATCCCATATGTGAGTCCAAGCTAACACACCATCGCGACCTTCTTCCGGCTGACTGCGTTGCACAGATCCTCCTGTGGAAGGGTCCGGCCATCCGCGCACATAGCAAGTTCGCTTCGCAGGTCACGCACAAACGATAGACTGCAACATCACCGGCTGCCTTAGAGTTAGCTTACACCGTCATATTGTATACACGCACTGTGCGCATCTAGACTATTCTACACCCTCGGCTGCTTCGCCCCCACCTCCGCGGTTCTACAGGCCCTCCCCGGTAAGCATCTCCAGCGCCTCCACATACCGCTTCCTCGTCCCCTCGACGACAGCGTCCTCCATCACCCACCCCTCGCCCTCCTTGCCCTCCGGCCCGTTCTCGAGCCCCTTCCTGAAACCCGTGCGCGTGAGCCAGTCGCGGAGGAACTGCTTGTCGAAGCTCGACTGTCCGCCGCCCGGGGCGTACTCCGCCGCGGGCCAGTAGCGCGACGAGTCCGGGGTGAGCGCCTCGTCGACGAGGATGAGCTCCTCCGCCGCCGCGGCCCCGTCGCCGGGGCCGGGTACGAGCCCGAACTCGAACTTGGTGTCCGCGAGGATGAGGCCCTTGGTGAGCGCGTAGTCGGCCGCTTCCTTGTAGAGGCGCAGCGCGGCCTGCTCGACCTTGGCGCAGAGCTCGGGGCCGATCAGTTCGGCAGCTGTAGGGAAGAGATAGACAGACGTTCAGCGGCGGTCGACGCAGGCAGGGGGAGGGGGGGGACCCGGAACGGAGTGTGGGGGAGGGACGGACCTTTCTGCGGGGAGATGTTCTCGTCGTGCGCGCCCTGCTCCGCCTTGGTCGAGGGGGTGAACAGCGGCTCAGGGAGCTTCTGGGACTCGACGAGGCCTTCTGGGAGAGGGATGCCATGCACGGTTCCGCTCTTCTTGTACTCTGCCCAGCCCGAGCCTGTTTGCGGTTGGCATTTTTCGTTAGTAACATAGAATTACACGAAAAAAATGAAGTCGGGCTGGTACCTACCTGTGATGTAGCCTCGAACGATCGCCTCGAGAGGGATCACCTTGGCTTTCCTGACGAGCATCGCACGGCCGTCGAGGACCGCCTTGTATTTGCGCACCTCTTCGGGCATCGCGTCGACGTCCGCGGTGACGAAGTGGGTCGGGATTACATGCTTCAACTGATCGAACCAGAACAGCGAGATCTTCGTGAGCACCTTGCCCTTGTCCGGCACACCCTGTAAATTCCAATCATGCGAAAACCCAGACCGGAGAAAATCGTACGTTACGATCCAGCGAGTGCGTGGATTGTGAGCGAGCGGATAGAAACAGTAGAAAGAAAGATGACTTACGTTGCGGAGGATCACGTCGTAAGCGGATATGCGATCCGATGCGACGAACAGGAGGAGGTTTGGGTCCGAGGTCGAGTAGATATCCCGGACCTTTCCCTTTGAGAGCAGCTGAAGGTCACTTAGGTTGCTGTCAATGAGAGCTTCGGTCATTGTCTTGCTCTACAAATGTAGTCGACAGTCAGTCAATGGAAGAACAAGTCAAGTTTTGTCTGTGCTCGGCGCTTGCCTGAGGAGTTGCGATCCTTACTTAGTCATTTCGAGAGTTCGAGTCGATGAATTTTGTAGAATGCCCAGATGCCTTCCCCACGATGGCATCGCCACAGGGAACTGCTCATGACCCGGAAGGTCCGAAGGTGGATCATCGGCGTTGATGAAAAAACTGCGACGTTGATAAAAACATGATGAGAGTGGGATTCGAACCCACGCCCTTTCGGACCAGATGACAGTGTGCTCCTTAGTCTGGCGCCTTAGACCGCTCGGCCATCTCACCATAGAAAGCTACTCAGCACAAACATAATGGTGGTGCAGTGCAAAGCTCGCTTGCAGGCTCACCACTGAGCACTACTACTAATACCACTAAGAGGGATATGGAGACAGCCTCAGGCCTGAATACTGAGCTATCATGCCAGCATGATACTATTCCATGTAAGGCTTACCTAGCAAAGGCGGTTATGGCAGTGATAATGATGCCGTACGTACTTCAAGTTAGACTCAAAGACTGTTAGTACTAGCGGCTTGCCTGAGAGTCGTTTCGGAGGAGAGACGACGGCACTTGGCTTTCTACGAAATGCAGTTTGGCATGTAATAGTCGTACTGGTCCTTGTCCGTCTTCTACGTTTTGATCATAGAGGAAAAACCCACATGGATGGTTGAGAGGTTGGATGCCGGCCGCAGTTCAAGAGGTTCGCCCTTCACCGGCCATTCGGCTACGGCATCTGTTGACGCTGGATGAAACTACGATGGCCTGCAGAGAATCGGTAAGATTTCGAGAAATGACGGCACGATCAGGCGGCACACATACAGAGCAACGGAGTACAGTCGTTTGTGAAACGATGACCAGACCTCTCTGCAGCCGGACTTGCGGTATACTATCGATGACTCTCCAAGAGATAATGTCATTCGTGACTTCGAGGGAATGGAGCCAACAAAGACGAAATGATACGTCAACGTCGACACTGGAGTAGCCTCTCGTGCTGACCTGATACCACGACGCTCGTATGATTTGCCCCCCTTCATGTCTCTTCGGCACGTGAATTCCGCGAGCCACGCTCCTTGCCAAATCGTCGACCAACGGTTTTCACAGACGCAGAAAAGAGTTGGTATGTAGACAGCTCGCCTAAGAGTCGACTAGAGGCGGCGTCGAGCTTTCTTGGCGATTCCTACGCGCTACTTGTCAGAGAATGATTCACCGCATGCACAAAGAACACTGACCTTTGTCCTGGTTGTACCTTCCCGATGTCTATTGAACCGGGTGAACCGGATGATTCCTCGGTTCCTTGTGCATCCTTTCTTCGTAACTACGCTCGCTAGCAAGCGACAAGTCGAGAAGAACCGCAAAGAACACGGCGAAGGCTTCCGCACAGGCTAACCCCGTACTTACGTCACAGAGAGGCCATACCAGAACCAACATTGTTTAAGCTTCGAGATCGAACTTCCCGGCTCCGACGTTGTGCGCGTTAGCATAGTACAAAACGATCTCCGCAAAGTCGGTTCAATTGCTCCTGCAGGTGTTGGTCTGCGTTGGTCTGAGCAAAGGCAGTGGATTGAGACAGTCTGTGAACCTGACCTTGTATTTCATGGCACCGGTTACTGGTCCCATCATGATTCCGTTCGCGCTCGCATCCACAGGGTTGATGTCCTCGCGTCTGTTGGCTTCCCTCGCGAAATTGTATAGACACCAAGAGCGCTCTTGCTATATCGATACGTGCGTGACGGATGGGTGATTCGTACTCAGCTGCATCACGCCTTAGCTTGTCCTCGGTCGGCTGCAATCCGGCCCGGGTCGAGTACTCACGACGCATTTACCTCGGCGATGATCTCGCCTGAATAGCCTCTTCAAGGCGATCTTCATGTCTTCGAAAGGATTGCGGGACAGAATCCCGACATATCCGACACGCACGACTCGATGACATCTTCGCCAACGCAAGTACAGAGCAACCGTCTGTCGGTCCTCTCTGGCAGAATGCCCGAGTTACGCCGCCTCAGCCTGCCCGCATTGGACGTATCACGCATCCAAGCATTCGGACGTTCACAAGGCGTACGCCCATATGACGCACTGGCATCATGTGTGAGCCCTGCACAAAAAACAACGCCCGATTGGCACTCACAGGCTACGTCGCAACAGAGTCCGAACCCGGAAAGCGCTCCAGTGCGCCGGAGCACGTCCAGAAGCACGCACGATGCTCGGATTTTCCAACGCCCTGGACACGGCAGTGTGCGTGCATATGTATGTGCACGGACCGACTGCCAGTCGCCGCCCTGGTCGATCAGGAGTGCTGCCCGTTCTGAACATACAGCGAGCTGTTCTTGCCGCCGACGTCGACGGCCAAACGTCGTGTCGCGCAGCATTTGCACATGCACTCCACGCACATCCCAGGCCCGTGGTCGTCCTGAGGAGGGGGCGCTCACTCACGGCAGTCGAACACGGCACCAGTAAGACGGGTGCAGACCCACGACTCCACTGAGACGGCCAAGACGTCAAGAAAAAGCCAAACCCCAGGCTGGAAGCTTGGCGGGGAGATGCACGAGCCCGCCTGCGTGTTCTCGTGCTTCTCCCGCCTCGAGCCCTGCGCGATGGGAGCGGCGAAGTTCGCGCGGTGCGTCGCTGCATGGGAACGGGCGCGCCAGCTGGAATAAACCTTGGCCATCCGACTTTGGGTAAGGGCAGCGCATAGTGCATGTTCATATGGGCTGCGCTTGAGCGTGGGAGCAGACGCGCTCCGCGAATGCCTCCGCGTGGTGGTTCGTTGTGCGCCCCGAACTGGGCGCGGAATGGCATGTGCGAACATGGACGCATGCCAGGCGTCAGACGACCGTGTTGCGTGCACGAGCGGGGAGCACCGAGAGGCGGAGCCTATGATTAGTCTTGGTGTGGACGTAGGGAGGTCGGAATCGCTCCGTGCCGCACAGGACACAGCAGCGCATGGGAAAGAACGAGTGCAGCCGGAGGTATTGATAGCGATCTCTGCACTGGCATCGATGTGTCCTAGTTCGGACAAAGATGCTGGGAAGTTGCACTGATCATCTTTCCATACGACCAGAGACGAGAGACAAACGAGAGAGGTTTGCGACGCCTGCTGGACTTCATATAGATTGAGTTTGACTTCTCGTCGGAGCAAGGCTAACATCCGCTTTGTTGTGATTGGAGCAGTGAACAAAGCTCCTGACCACAAAGGACCACATGAATGGTCGAGGACGTCATGCCCACGACCACTTCTTCGCTCATCTGCACAGCAACCATGCGAACATAGTGTCGGCGTGGCAGGCCCAAGCCTGTAGCAAGACGTATATGGCAAGCGTGAGGATGCGGGGGAACCCACCTGGAAATGTCGTCAAATCCTCGGTCGAACCTGAGAATGCGGGGGTTGTGGGGAACGGAGTCCAAGACGGTTTCTGGGACTATCTGCGACGAGGGATCATCAGTGCACTGTCTTGCCGTGGGAAGGACGAGCAGCTCACCCTTCTCGTGGGAGGAACCGACAACCACGCTGCGGATAGAGTTGCGTCTTCCCCAAATAGTGCATGAACAGGTTTGAGGCTGCAGGCCGCTGCGAAATCATGCCGGCGGAACATGTCCGAGACATGGCATGAGAGCGAACAGCATGAGGAAGATAGGAGGCAGTATATGCTCACCTCCGTGTGTAAGTTTTGGTTGAGACCTGCAACAGGAGGTGATGTTCCGTCGCATTGATCGTTTCAAGGTGGAGCAGAGACGACGCCAACACGTTCTTTCTCCCAGCCTGCCAGCTTACGACGACGTCCAGTGAGACCGCGGTAGGCGACATTCTCGCGATGATCGAACGTTTGGTGACGCTGGCTGCCCGCTGGCATGGCCCATCGCTTCTCTCTGCATGATTAGAGAAGACGCAGCTACCGGCGAGGCGGGACGACAATGGTTGGCTTGCGATAGGTGTCCCTGCCGGAAAACTTTGGACGTGACCCGCCTAATTTCAGGTTCCCAAGCAAACGATGCCAGCATGCGATAGTCATCCCACGACGGGGACGGTGGTTTCGTTTCTGACCATGGAAGCAGAACCGGCGGTAAGAGGCCCGATGGACGGAAGGAGCAAGTAATGTACGCACCGTGCACATTGCACAAGCTTGAGAAACATCAAAGATAGTTGCGTCCCTTGAGGGTCGGGTATACGCGGCCTGGATGGAAGCGCAGAGTCTGGCGTGGCCACACGTAACGAACCTCGGAGTCACCTCAGCTCAGCCTCCGTTGTACCGTGGACGCGGCGGAAGCGTGTAATGCACACGTCGGTGGAGCTGGATGTTAATCGCCAGCGCAGGGCCCGAGCCGTCGCGCTGGCGGGGAACGTCATCAGACGCTACGAACCGTGGCAGATGGTGAGAACGACCAGAGACAAGTGATATTTTGGCGAACGGACCGTTCACACGAGACGCAAGTTTAGCGTTGCCAGGCTGAAATTTGCGAGCTGGGCATATGACGAACAGACGAGCATGAGCATAGATGTATTCTTGTTAGCGTCTCCGTCAAACTATGTCGGAGGAAGTTGCGCATGACGGACGCGGGTGACTTGATTATTCGGAGAAAGCGCGATGGCGTCAAGAAGACAAGATATATGCGGAGCCCACTGCATAGCACAGTGTAGATGGGTTGGTCGTCGGCGTCGAAAGCGATGAAGACAGCAGTGAAGATGGTGGCGAGAGGCAAGAGCGTCCGACGTCCGTCCCAGATCAAATTGAATGGTGATATTGAGACTACGTATTCAAGGGCACCGTCGCTCGTTCTCGCCGAATGCTTGACACCGAGAACGCCTCGACCAGGCTTCAGGGCAGCCTTCAAAATTCAGGTCACCACACACGAAACCGTTGTCACCGTCGTTCACACGAGACATGCGTTCGCCAGGATTGGCATTGGCAAGTTGAGCATATACCGAAGATGTAGATTGGTTATATGCTTGTCATCGTAAAGCCGTATCTTCGTCAGAGTCGGAGGAAAAGAACGAAGCCGTTCGGGAATCGGCGTCGAGGCGTTCAGCCTGAGACCTTTGGTGACACGAGTGACGTGACTCGTCGGAATAACAGCGAGGGCATTGCGCTGCCGGTGTAGATGAGATGGTTTGGGGGCGTTGTCGCGGTTAGAGGCGATGAGCAAGGTGTTGAACAGGAAAACACAGGACGCAGAGGCGCGCTTCGGGATATGAGATTACGTAAGCGCGCCCTTCTCGTCGTTGCGGTCGACAGCGACTGTCGGCAACTTATTCCTCACCGCCAAACCTCCCCCCGCCGCCGTCGCCCACGATG